GTGTGTGTGTGTGTGTGTGTGTGTGTGTGTGTGTGTGTGTGTGTGTGGGTGTGTGTGTGTGTGTGTGTGTGTGTGTGTGTGTGTGTTTAGTGCTTTGTTGTGTGAGATTTACTGCAGAACTCATAATGATGAATAGAAAAAGAGAGTACAGCCTCCTGCTGTTCTCATTGACATACAAGTGTTGTTTATGAATAAAGATGAATACATTTTCTAATAAGGCATACAAGTTCAAAGCTGTAACTAACTAATTAATTGGTTATTCAATAATAATAATACATGTTTTTTTAATGTTAGCTAATACAACTTTTAAGTTGTCAGGTCATGGAAAAAAACCTCAGCTAGTGTTCACACTTAAAGTGCAGACTATATTTATTTAATATTTGAAGAAAAGTTACAAAAAGGTTTGGTTCGTTGCATCTCAATCAATCAGTCAGTTATTTAGTGATGGCCGTGAGGTGGCTTTGTTTTACTTTGAATTCGTTGAACTGTCTTTGCTGGGCTTCGTATTTGTATTGATGATCTATCGTTGACATAGGATATCAGCTATTGGTGACTCCCATCGAAATAATACCAACGGCGTTAAAAACACATACTGTATATAGACCAATATAGTAGACACCTACCTGTTGGTGTGGGAGTTGTTGTGCATGAACCAGGAGCGGTTGTTGTCCACATACATGGCCCACGCCTTGTCATCTTTGCCCAGCATCATGTCTTTCATGGTGTTGATCCTCGCCACGCCAAAGGCAGGGTCAGGGTGGTTGTCGTAGCGGTCGATGCGGATCTCCCAGTAGTGGATGCCCTGAGATTCACGTGGAAGTTAACAAATGTGATGTGAAAACTGATTTTGTGATGTGAAAACTGATTTTGGTCACCCGCTCACTCATATGAGAAAGAAATCGAATCTACGTATAAAAATCCATAAAACAGACAACACGTGTGATCTTACTTTGGAGAAAGCAGCAGTTCCCAGCACCACGCGGTCGTCGTAGCTGCTGCAGGTGACTGTCTGGTTTTCATTGGTCAGAACTATGTCCCGATGAGCCGTGGAGGGGTCAAAGGAGAACCAGGCCACTGTAGGAGGGAGACAACAGTTGGTCATGATGAGTATTAAGATAGATATAGAATTAGAAGTTCTGAAAGTCTGTGCCACCATTCAGACCCATGTAGTCAGTCACAAAACCACATTTGTACCTAAACCCTTCCTTCACAAACTGGTGTCACACTTTTGCTTGCCAAAACATGCAGTAATATCATATTAGCAGCTTTCCATCATGTTGATGGTGCTCATTAATTGTTTTTATCCTCATCAATATGGACACACTCCGCTAACGCGGTGAGAAACTCAAATCTGCTCTTATAACAAGAAATACGCCCTGTCATAATGACATTTTGTCAAATAATCATGTCAGGATAACAGATAATGTTCTGTTGTAATAAAATATAATAATATTAACAACTTATTTTGCTGTATTAAAGCAATGTATGTGTATATAACAAGATACATTCATACGTTAAAATAATTTGAATTAAATCAGTCAAAGCTTCAAGAAACAGCTGATTTTGTGTTGCAGAAGCAGCAATTCATTGTTGTACTATCGATACATTTCAGACAATAATATACACAATATAACTAAGGAGATTGAAAGGGAATGGCAAATGCACAATTTGTCCACTAACACCTTATGTGATTCATTTTGATAAACAAGAAATAGCTCGGACTCATGAAGCTGAAAGGCGGCTTCAGACATTATGAAATGTTATTAATCAGCCCATCAGGACATTTTCAACAAGTCTCTAAGCCTCCACTGTGATTAGATGACCATCAGCTGCTATATTAGGAGAGTCGTCTGTTGCCACATTAACACACGTATTATCAGTGGGTTCCTTCTGGACAGAGTTACGTATGGAAATCCATGTCTGGCATTACATACACGGCATATATAACGTTCTGTCTGGCGGGGCATAAGTGCGTGGGTGAGTTTATAGCTGCAGGATAAAAGCACGCGCGCACACACACACACACACACACACACAAACTAAAGCCACGAAAAATCAGAACAGAAACATCAGGGATGCATTTACTATAGCTGCCTGAAGGCAGAAATGCTTCATCAGCTGGCTACAACCTTATGCTGCATCATTGATTTGGAAGTGGTGACACATCAAACACACACACACACACACACACACACAAAATTGTACATAAAAATCAATGTTTGTTATTTACTTGTCATGTCTCTTTTCTCTGTGTATTTGGAGGAAGCTACAGTCCTCGAGGATAGAGAAGGAGGAGGCGATGAGGAGCAAGAGGAGGAAAAAGAGGGCGAGTTGACAAAGAAAATTAAATGCCAAAGAAAAGGAAAAAAAGAGGGCGGGAGGGATGAACGGTTATCAGTCACAAAACAGACTAATGCCCATTGTTGCTGAAACTGGCAAAGTGAGATAGAGTGTCTCAGTGTGACTCTCACCTTCATCCCACTGTGGTTGTGGAAAATGTTGTCATTGTCCCCTTTTATCCTCCTCCTTCTATCTCTAACACCTTTCTTTTCTTTCCTTTGCCTTCTTCAGCTTTGTTTTCCTTAATTGTCTTTCTTCACTCTTCATTCCTTTCTTTACTACACTTATTTGTATACTTTCCTCCTTCCATCCTTGTCCACTCCCTTCCTTTTCTTGCCTATATCCTATTTATTCCTCTCTTTTTTCACTCTTCATTCCTTCTTCCCTAACATTTCCTTTTCCATTAATTTCTTACTTGTCCACTCCCCTCTTTCCTTTCCTTTTCTTACAGGTTCTCTCATTTCCTTTCCTCTTCTTTCCTCTCGGTCTTTTACTCCTCCCCTTTCTTTTCTTATCCTCTTTTTTTCCTTACTTTTAACATTACTCCCCTCTCCTTCCCCTTTTTCTTCATTTCTTTCTTTCCTTGTCCACTCCCTTCTTTCCTTTCCTTTTCCTTTCCTTGTACTATCCTTTATTTTGCCCTCCTCCCTGTCCTTTTCCATCCCTTCCCTTTCTATATCTTTTCTGTTTCCTTCCAATTGCCTTACTCTCCTCTCCTTTCATTTTGACTCCCTTCCTTTCCTTGTCTAATCAATTTTACATGCTACAATTCATTTGTGTCTTCAAATCTTTTACGAAGATCATCACACAAATACAACTATTCTGCGGGAAACAATAAAATCAAGACAATCAAAGGAGGATTATTCTGAAGGATACAGACATTATCCTTTAGCCGACACTTAGTGTCAATTTGGCAAAGCTGTAGAACACCCCCCCCCACACACACACACACACATATTGCCTACCATCAGAGGTCTTGAGCACCACAGTCTTGCTGTACGGCCCCACACCGATAGCATTGTAGGCTTTCACCCTGGCATTGTAGGAGCTGTTAAAATGAAGGCCGTCCACAGTACACACTGTTTCCTTCCCCACATACACCTCCTGGGGGCACACACACATTTTAGTAGCATCATTACAAATGCAGATTAAGTGCATGCACATGTTTGTTCGCTGCTTAAACACACAAGATGGACTCAAGTATTAGTAAAGACTCACACACTTAAAATGCATGTTTACTGATGACACACATATAACACGCACACACACACACACACACACACACACACACACTACCATCTGGCTTCAGTCAGAGTTGAGCAGCATATGGATAATTAATAATAAAATCAAAAGGAAGACTAGCCACAGAAGTGACATCATTTACTGCATGGTGTCATATTAGCGACAACATGACATGCACATTACGAATGGGTTTTTGCGAGGCACAGACCCTGTACTGTCCTCCGTTGCCGTCGTCCAGCTCCAGGATGTAGCCCTCAATGAGGCTGACAGGGGGCGCAGTTACCCTCCAGGCCAAGGTGGCGCTGTTGTTCCTGGTGCAGCACTTCTCCAGCTGCAAGAGAGGAGCCACCGGTACCGAGGGTCCAGACTCCACTGTGGGGAGAAAAAGATGGATGAGACGTAAAGATTGTAATGGGGAGTTTAGAGGAAGGAGAGATGAAAGGGTGGGTGGATGCACGAAGAGAGAAAGAAGACATGACATGTCGTCAGCTGGCTGGTTGACTTTAAACAAACTGATGGGAGAGAAAGACGGGCTTTACTGTAGATCTAGTGGGGGATGAAAACATTTTCATGTTTATACACAGGGCAACCGGTGGGAATTGGTGGAGGCTTGAAGTAGGCCATGTGAAGACATATATATACATTATAGAGGTAGCAGTAGTGGGGCATAGGATAAGACCAATATAAGCTTCGAAGACTAGTTGATATTCTGTGACAAACCCTCCGGCAGCAATTATTTAAACAGTATATTGCTTATTTCTTGTAAGACATTTAAGTAGTAGGTGTTCTTGTCAAGGTGGGACAACCTCTCAAATGATAAGTAGACTGTCTTGAGATACAAACTGCCTATTGAAAAGACAGACGAACATATTTAGCTAATTGCTAGATTCAGGGCAGGAATCTTGGCTTGTTAAAGAAGTCAAAAAATGAATGTCATATCAAAGAATTTTCTAATAAACAATCATATCTGTCTAACCCTTGTGGTGGTAAAATTGGTGCTAACAAACAGGACATGACTGCATTCCAAAAGGAGCTGAAACAAACACACAAACAACAACATCAGGGTAAAAATAACCACTGAACACACACAAGTGGAGATCTCAGGGTGATGAATTCTGCTTCATTCATCATTTCTTCATTTGTTATCTGATCTTTCAAGACCAAAATAAGTAGTAGTGAATACACAGAGGAAAGGCAGCAGTCATGACAGAGGGAACAACATAGCAGGGTCGATCTGATATACACTGTACTTATCGATTCACTTTATCAATGTCACAGTAATCACAGCATTTGTAGCCAAAGTAGTTCTTTGATTCATGCACAACCACAAGATGACGATTATTTGTTGTTAAATGAATGCAATTTTATCATTTGTATTCATGTTTGCAGCAATATATTCTCCATTTATTACTTGTAGTGTGCTATACTTTAAATCCATATTTTACAATTTCATTTTAAGATTTTCTTAATTGAAAAATATTATCTTTATTGTTTATTTTAGATAACAATTCAATAATTGTGATTCTGACATTTGGGGATCATGTTTAATACACATTTCCTTTTATTATATTTGTGCTGAAAGGTGGCACAAATGATTATTTCCACAAAAAAAATCAAAGGATTGGTAACCAAAGACTAGCATGGAACACAGAGAAGTACTTCAGGCAACAAATTTCTGTGACTTATATGGAAACTTTGTGCTCCAGTGAAGGCAGCGCTATTCTGCAGAGGTGCCATTCATTGGAGAGGAGCTGGAAAACAATAACCATGCAGAGACCAGATAGACGCTGTGGGACAAAAGGACCGGTGATCTTCCAACCATAAGCAGTGCTGAGGGACGAGGAAGGAGTGACGAAAAAAATTCAAGGAAGGAAAACAGAGGTTCACTGTGAAAAGTAGAGTCTCTGAAATACCTCCTGGGCTCTCTGTCTCCAGCTCAGCCTCACCACTGTCTGCTGCCTGCATTTGTTTCAATAACGGATTCTCCTGCACATCTGTAAATATGACGTTGGTTTGGATGTTTTAATGTAAGAGCACATGGACAAAAGATGGCACATAAAGCAGCTGGAACTGACAGTGAGACCAGTGCAGATATTTGGATTGAATGCATTAGAAACATGACAAAAGGTAAATATTCGCTGACGCAGTGAAGAGCTTGTGCTGTGTCAACAAAATGACCAACAGCGGCAACACAAAAGCCTTATGGTCATTAATTTGCAAATGATATGTAAATTTAATAATGTTCACCATATATCATTGACTTGTAGGTCAGACTATTATACTTCATAAATACTTCTTATGTCAGAAAATCTCTTATATATACAGTGGGTACGGAAAGTATTCAGACCCCTATTAAATTTTTCACTCTTTGTTTCATTGCAGCCATTTGCTAAAATCAAAAAAGTTCATTTTATTTCTCATTAATGTACACTCAGCACCCCATCTTGACAGAAAAAAACAGAAATGTAGAAATTTTTGCAAATTTATTAAAAAAGAAAAACTGAAATATTACATGGTCATAAGTATTCAGACCCTTTGCTCAGTATTGAGTAGAAGCACCCTTTTGAGCTAGTACAGCCATGAGTCTTCTTGGGAATGATGCAATTATAACTTAAAATGAAGGAGAATACTTTCAGGCTACTTATGAACCAGAACACCTCCTGCACTGTGTTGTTTCTCAGGGTGTCAAAGACTAAAATTCAAAGACATGAAATCAAATGCTCCATGTTAAAACTCCTTCGCTTTGTTCCTGATGTGACGGTGGGGAAACGTACAGATGGGTTTCATGTCGTCTGACTTAATTAAAGAACAAAGGGAAGGACGACCAAAGCCTCTCAACTACTTACAAGCCTACTCAGCCTACTCAAATTAGAGAAAGTCTCCTTCAAGTGCGACTCAATCAGGGTCATGATATTTGTAATAGATCACAATGCATTTTTAATAAATGCAAATAAAATATTGCATGTAATGTAATAATGAGCATTATTCACTATTATAGCGATGTTGAATCAACATCTACAAAGGAAAACGCCTGATCTTTACTGCCCCAGTGGATCCGTATCATAATAAAATATGCAGAGTGCTGATTACATATTTAATGTACATTAACAATATATCTGGGTAATTTCTAAGACTGCCGCAGAATCAATGTAAAGGACGTTGTGTTTACTCATGCACGCCAACTGGTTGCTGGGTAGCAACAGCCAATGAATACCTAATCAGCTATGTACATTGTTGTACAGCTGGAAGAAACCTCTGAAGGGAAGAGCGACAAAAACTACATGTTATGTTGCCTGTTTAAAGGGGCACTCCACCATACTGTAATTCTATTACAGCAGTATGGGAACAACAGGAAATCCTCTCGTTATTCTGACTTGGGAGTGTTCAAGCGTAATTCCAAGATGGTTACCTCCTCTGCTAGCCTTGTAATAACTAATTTAGTTAGTTACTAGTCAAAAACCATATATAAACTGTATTTACCTCCTTTAAAATGAACTGAGCTGATTGCATTGGTGTTAATGTTGGATTTTATTTAAATGCAACTGCCAATGATGGCAGTTTGGCAGACATTTTGCAAACCTTTTTTGTTGACACTTAAATCGATGTGGTTCTTTTAATCAAGTGGAAGATTAAATGAGACGTGTCATTATGTTAAACCGGCATAATGACACAACCAGTTGCATTATGGGAAATGTAGGATCAAGTGGAGTGGAGCTTGACCCATACTATGGAATATAAGTCAAAATCTCTCTGCCTCAGCTACATTGAAAGTGATGGTACTCTTTCAGTTTTTTGTTCGACCCCCCATCTTTATGAGCTCACTACTAAATCGATGGAGTACTCCTTTAAATACAAGTGTTAATACAGAGAAGTTAAGAATACAATTAGTTGATTGTATGAAAAATGAATAGAAATTAGGAAAAAGGTACGATACAATTTAACAAAGGTATAATACAAATTGCCAATTGAATAGGCAGTGTGTGCTTTCGTGTCTTCACCTTTGCCCTGGCAGAAGTCCAGCTGCAAGATGGTTTGGAGCAGCGAGTCGGTGTTGAGGGTGAGGTCAAACTCAGGGCCTACTTTTGGCTCCAGGGCTCCTTTCACCCACTGGTCCTGAGATGATATGACCCTCTTGATCAGAGCATCTGAGATCTACACACACACATATGTAGGCAAGGTTGAAGCACGCATGTACACAGTGATGCAAGATAAGCATGTGAAAAGACATGTACAGTCAAACAAACACAGGAAATGAGAGCATCTGAAGTCAATATCTATGCTTGCAGGGCTGGGATACTCTCCCGGCAGAACAGCTTCTCTGCTCTGGGTACAGTTCCATTAGCCTGGCTTTATTACACTGTGTCTGACAAGTGAAATGAGGCAGGCATTAGTGCAGTTCAAATATTTAAGGCTAAGAATTAGACCCCTCATCTGCTAGTCAGAGCTTTATTGCCTCGGGGGAGGGGGGGAGTGAATACATTATATTAAACTACTCTCAACTGCAAAACATTTGATGGGATCTTCTTGAAAACATGAGCCTGGTATTTAGAAATTCATCCTCGAGCATTACAACGCAAATTGCTTCATTTAGCTTAATTTTCCCCACTTCAGATCACTTCAAACTGTATTGTATTTACAAATGTTCCTGAACTGATATCCTCCCTTGATTTTTTTTAAGAGACTCTAGTTACGATTTAGCTGTTGGCAACCATAAAGGACCACATAATCAATACATTATAAAATATTCAGATGAAATGGAAGCAAGGGGATGTGTGTGTGTGTGTGTGTGTGTGTGTGTGTGTGTGTGTG